TTCTTGTCATTTCTGAGTCGACGAAACCGGGAGAAATGGTGTTCACGCGGATGTTGTGTGGTGCGAGCTCAACGGCAAGGGCCTTGGAGAGCATGAAGACGGCTCCCTTGGAGGCGTTGTATGCCGCCATGCGGTAGCCGGGGAGAGCAATGTGCGCGGACTGTGAGGCTAGAAGGACCATGCTGCCCCCCGACCCTTGCTTCAACATTTGCTTGGCCGCAAGTTGAGCGACGAAGAATGTTCCGCGAACCTATTTGATTATGAGTATGAATTCCTGCGGGGTAACACCATAGAAACGACTCACGTTAATCTCCTGGATGCGGTTGAACTCGGCCCATGTTTGATCGAGGAATGGCTTATCTATGGCAATGCCCGCCGCCGGCACACAGCCGTTGATGGAGCCGAATTCCGCAATCACTTTGTCGAAAGCAGCTTGGATACTCTCTTGCGACGTGACGTCCGTCTTGATGTAAACAGTTTTCGTGCCAAACTTCTCAGAGAGTGTGTTAAACTCATCGACTGGCTTATCCTGGATATCAAACACTGCTACATTCCCTCCCATCTCGCAAATAGCGCGAGTGCATGCAAAACCGATGCCCTGAGCTCCGCCCGTAACGATGTAGTTACGGCCGCGGAGCTCAAACATGGGCCGCACGTCGTCAAGGTGGTCGGAAGGCATGATAAACCGATTGAAGATGGGTTGCGACTGGTAAATGAGTATGACAGCTATGATTCAGAGCTGAGGGAAAGTCAGTAGTTGCATTGGTCATGAACGATGTGAATAGTCCCTGCTGTTCCTTTATCGTGACTCCCGGCGAGGAGTGTGTGGCCCCGGGATTGGCTTCGGAAAGTGGGTCTCACCCCGGTTCCGTAGACTTCGGAAGCTCCGAAGCTCATCGGTTCCTATTCGTGCTGGCGCGCCGGATCCCTACCCCGACTCTTTGTCGACCCGGTCAGGACACCAGTTGGCGACACTTGATATGACTTACCCTAGAGGCGATTGCCGTAACGCGATTGAGATTCGTCTGAGTGTATGAGTGTCACACTTCTGTCTATCCATTTGGTTGATAATACCTACTCGGTACTTTGTATAATCGCGAACAAGCATCTAGCTGTCTCAACCACAACTAACATTTCGTCGAATCTTATCTCAGAGACAATGGCATCCAATGCACCAGGTGCTTGTTGCACTGTTGGCACACTCCACGAGTAAGATTATTCCTAGGTGCACAGCAATAACAATCTTCGAATATCAGCTAATTTCCTCAACATAGGGGTAATCCAACAGGGAAATCCGTCCAGATTGATGGAAAAATTGAGGCATACTTGGCTCTTCCCGCTGAAAACGAGGCTTCGCAGCGAGCTGTCTTGTATCTTCCCGATATCATTGGAATATGGCAAAACAGCAAGCTCATGGCCGATGCATTTGCTCGCCAGGGCTACGCATGCCTAGTCCTCGATCTGTTCAATGGTGATCCGGCACCGTTAAACATGCCGGAGGATTTTGACATCATGAAGTGGCTGCAGGAGGGCACTGGCGGGAAGAACCCACACACCTCAGAGACAATTGACCCAATAGTCGTCTCCGGCATCAACTACCTAAAAGGCCTTGGTATTACGAAAATTGCAGCAGCAGGATATTGTTTTGGGGCCAAGGTTCGTTTCCATATCAATTGCACACTACACAGTATCCTAATTCTCTTCCAAGTATGCCGTGCGTCATTACAAGAGCGGGATCCAATGCGGTTTCATTGCCCACCCGTCCTTTGTAGAAGCGGATGAGCTCGCTGCCATCACCGGACCGCTGTCGATTGCTGCAGCAGAGTTTGATGACATCTTCCCAACAGAGAAGCGACATGAAAGTGAAGCTATTCTCGCTCAAACGAAGCAGAACTATCAGATCAACCTGTTTTCTGGTGTTCACCATGGCTTTTCCGTTCGCGGTGACCCGAAGAACGAAAAGGAGAGGTTCGGAAAAGAACAAGCTTTTTATCAAGCGGTATCTTGGTTCAACAGATACTTTGAAGCCGAAGGAGTCTAAACGCAAGGCCTCTACTTATTAATGGAAAGATCTGAGCTTTGCACCTTCTGTTCCACTCTTTTGAACTGGCTCTTGTCCTCAATAAACTGGATAGCCTATTGAACGTTGCAAATTACAGCCGGCCTGAGATGTGTCTCTCTCTCATAACACATGCACTGACTCTAGCAGACAGTTTGTTGAATTCAAGAGCGATTGCCATCGCCTAGGCGCAAAGATTCTGGAGAGGAATGAGGCCCACGTAAAAAGCCTCGGGCTCAAAGATCGCCTTTATGTAATTCCCGAGCTCTGAGACCATACACTACCCCCCGTCCCCCTTGACTCTTGAGTCCAGTCTGCTAGGGCTGAGGTAAGACAAAATTTCGAGCAGACATGTCTCCAAGACGTCATCAATGAAGGCTACAGCAAGTACTCGGCTTTCATCAGTGCTTTGATGCCCCCGAACTACCTATATGGCTTACCCTCGAGAAATTACGAAGTGTTCCACTCCAGATTTTACACGCATGTGGTGACTGGGGAAATCATGGATGGATGTAGCATCCATCCCTAATCAACCATCTGAAATATATTTATGCAACATAGATAATTAGGGGGTTTCCGATGGGCACCTTCAAACTAGTTTTACGGTTAGGCAAGCCACATAAGCCATTGCAGGCGACCAGATGTCACTGCCGTAGTCGTATAGGCGAATTCATTTTCGTGATATTCCGCAAGGCATAATTCAGTCTAGTATCCTACCGCATAATTCAGTCACTTCCACCAATTTGTGCGGTCGAAAGTCGGGGTTTCACAATAGTGAATGTAAATGCTGACGGAACGATGATGTGACTGACAGAATGTCTCAGTAGCCCCTGTAAGGGAAGCACACACCTTACACATACCTCCGCTAATCCTGTAACTGACAGTTGGACTAAGTCGGTAATATGGGCTGGGCAAACTAAGTAACCAGCCACGAAGTAAACTTGAAGTATTCAGGGATGGGTTAGTCGCCCACGTGTTGCCATATTCTGGCCATGGTCAAGAGGTGATTGCAACAAAAATCTGTCAATGATCTCTGCTCGGTACTTTGTCTTTACAAAGATTATTAGATTAATTGATAGGAGACCTCGATTGGAGGTATGATCTTGAAATTTCCCCTCTGTCTGTAGTTCGACGAAGCTCCACCCTATCCCACGTTTGCCGTCACATGGAAATCATTCTCTTGTCATCTTCTCATCACTTTCATAAAACTCATTGATATTTGCCGCAGGCGTTCATGGCTCCGCCATTAGACAACATCGTCGTGAGGCAAATTGCATCTCTGTCAATACTTTTCGTACTCGCGACTGGGATTTTCGGCCTTCGATTATTCACTCGGATTTTACATACTATGACCTACCGACTATTGCTAGATGACTACTGCATCATTGTTGCATGGGTAAGCATCTCAAGCTTCGATCATGCGTCTTCTACTAATCTCAAAGTCAAGATACTGTTCGCTACCCAGCTATTCCTCCGAGTCGCGGTGCTTAATGCCACATCTCTAGTTCCTATCGTTCTTTCGGTTAAGAAGAATGCCGACATGAGCCATGTAGCTGGAGTCATGGCAAATATGGCATGGTCGCTTGCCAAGACATCTTTCATCTTCACTCTTTTGCAGCTCGTCACCGAAAAATTGCGATGGCTATTGTGGTTCATCATGGTGACCATGAACGTTACCGTGGCGACATGGGTACCCTTATTCGAAAATCCATGTGGTCCTCGTTCTCATTTGCCATGCATGACAGGTAGACAGGCACTCAACTTTGCTGTCTTTGCTTTCGGTATGCTTGAGTATGTCGCAGTTTTCGGGTCTACGAATCACACTCACAGCTCAATGTATCAGCTTATTCAGTCTTTTTGGACTTCCTCCTATCGTTATTGCCATGGAAGATCATATGGCCGCTGCACCTCAGCACAAAGGACAGGATTGGTATATGTGTGGCCATGAGCATGGGATTCGGGTTAGTTTTTTCTATGCCATTATTACGGGCTGCTTTCAATTTCTGATCATGTACAAAGTGCTGGAGCAACAGGAATTGTCAAGATATTTCATCTTTTCAGTTTCAATCCGTTGGATAATAGTAAGTGCTGACTTTCGTACGATTAGTTTTGTAATATTCCCGTGTAATCTAACTACTCTATAGATAAATTAGGGGGTCTTTTTATATGGGAAAGTGCTGAGATCGCAGCAACTATCATGGCCGCGTCAATCCCCGTGCTTCGAAAGCTCTCTCTCAGCCGCAGGAGACACAATATCGCGCCTAACATGCGGGAAAATCAAGAAGAAGTGATGAGGTCAAGCTTCAGACGACAGCTACGCATGGTGGGTCTCGGTAGTCAAGTTACAGAAAACACCAACACGACTCAAGCTGCTCCATCAACAATCCTTGAGTCAACTCAAGAGGAAGCGAACGTGGTTTGAATAGGGGCGCAGATTAGTATTAAGATTGAGACTTGAGGTGGAGTAACCCAAGAGAAAGGAAGCGTACAGAGAGATAAGACTTTCTTGGCTTCCTTCTTCTAGTAGATGCATTTCTTGACTGATACCGGTCCAGAACCCAATCATTTCGAAAATGAGATCAAAGCTAATAGCCAAATCCGCATATAACGTGGAAAGCTCTCTCAGTTGCCTGAGCCTCACTGGTGTCTCGAGTTCCTTGGATATTGCATCTGTGACGTGCTGCTCACAGCCTTCAGCTGTGTCCGTTTGGTGGCCACGATAGGAACTAATTATCGTCTGGGGGTTACGACCGGATCATTTCACCGTTGATCGAAAAGCTAAATAAGTCCGCCAGCAGCCTTCAATCGCATATTAAATTAATTGTGCTTACTCTCGAACGTTGCCCTCTTTGTATCATCAACGAAGCATGATCTCCAGCATCAGGGAGGCATTCGTAAGGAGTAAATGCTGCCGAATAAGATCTAATATTCGTTTGGCAAAATGTTCTTCGAGTTCACGAATCGGGCCAGCTTTCAGACTCTAAAGATTACGGAACAGCTCGTCAAGGTGCCGACGGCGCTGAACAGGTCCGAGTACTGTATTTACTGCTTGCATGATGTTAGCGAACTTGTGCAGAGCGAGTTTCTCCTTGCAGCTTCCAGGTCATCTCACGAATCCGATGGAAGCTTCGACTGCTCATCATCGACTTAGCCAACATGAGTGTTTGGCAGATTATTATCATGGTGAAGAGCTCGTCCTCTGAACGGTTTCTCAAGTCCATGGAGCCCGCGCACGCGATACGATGTGTGGTGGTTGATCTTATTGTCGCCTGGAAGATGATTACACCGGCCTGCTATTCGCAGCCTGTAAGACCTTACTGCGTTTGCTTGTCTAAGCAATAGGGTTATTGGTAGTAGGTTCCTGGGTATCAAGGTAACACTCATGAGCGTCGCGACATTACTACTTCAAGGAAAGATCTCTTCACACCGTCGGTAACATATGTTTGGGCATTACTGAATGTGTCGTCATAGCTACATCCGCGAACACGAGACTTCGCTCCGATTTCCCCCACGTATGCAGGGTGAGAGTGTTCGTCGGTGGTCCCTTAATCGCCGCGTGGTTGGCTGAAAACTCTCCCTAGCAGCGACAAGAAGCGTCATGATGTGTGTGAATGGCCGGTTGAACATTTGCTGCCGTCATTGCAGGGTAGATCTCGAAAAAGCAAATACTGCCCCCGCCCCCCCGTGGGTCGTTCAGCTACTCTTTTAAATGCTTAACCTCGCTAACAGCTTCATAGATGAGGTCTCCCCCATTTTCACAATAGTCATTATGAGTAAACTTGTTGTATTTCCGGGTTGATACTTCCGAAGTATTTGTATAAGATGGACAACAAGAACAGGGACGATGAGATTGAATGTTGGGATGAAGTGCACTTTACCGCTGGAGCTGTGTCTCGTGAAAGAGCGACCAGAAGCGCACATCCAGGAATGGATCATAGACGCCCGCGCTTCCCACGGACCAGGGGGTTCAGGAAGCGAGCGATCGAGCCATTTGATTCACAGCCCACTAGTGTATGTACCATAAGCCGGGGACCCAGACTTGATGCCATATCCAGGTTACTCACAGAGACTTGATGTGTATGTCTGGAACCAAAATCTATAAACACTAAAGCCAGCGGCATTGGCGTTCATCTGGTTAGCTGCGGTGTAGTTTATGTAGGTAGTCTCAAGAAAAGCGTTCCTACCCGCAGGACGACAGAGCGGGTTGTGGTTGATGCTAAGCAGGCGTGGCAGGGACCACTCGGAAACACCACGCTGAAACCCCGGAAGCGGCATTCTGCCAGAACCAACAAGTCAGCATTGGCGGATTTCGTATGTGGTGCTTTGCTTACGAATTGTGGCAGACTTGTTCAGCTCTTGAACAGATCCGGCATGGTTCAAGGACTAGCCCTGAAGCAAGGAGTGCCGGGCGACACGGATCAAAACTTAGTGAAAGAGAATCATGGGGATTATCCCATCTTAACCAATCGTCAAAGCCCCGTTATCTCTTCCCCGCATTCTACATTTCTAGCGGGTAAGGGACCCTAGGCTAAACCCGTAATCGTAGGAAGTCCCGCTTTGCCGCTATCAAGAGGAACATAGCCGACTGACAATCTGTCTGCTTATCTCTTCCCTCTCCTATTCGATTGTGTTGGTTCTCTTCCATCCCCCGGCATTTCTCTCTGAAAGAACCGCTTTTCCATCCTTTCGATCATTGTGTGGCCTGCATACCGAACGTCATCGTTTCACTTACTTGCGCAATATCCACCTGGAAACCATCTGCTTTCAATTACGTTTGAGGTTAAAGTACCCTGCGATGCCACGGAGCAAAGACACCATGGCGCAACCGAAAGAGAACCGCGTCGCAAAGAGACCAAGCCCACAGAGCGGAGAGACGGGAAGACGACGAGCGCCGTATGCACTGCGCGCTTGCGAGGCATGTCGCCGACGAAAGGGGAAATGCGACGGACGGCAACCATGCAGGTACTGCGCAGGACGTAAGCAGACCTGCGTCTTCGACAGCATCTACGGCTCCGATGACGGCATGTGGTCCGTCCCGACTGCGACGGCTACCGATGATTCTCCTACCGAGTCCGATCAATCAAGGCGAGAGACCTCGTCAACGTCCAATAACCAGGACAACATCATGAAACTCTTATCAAGTCTTCAAGACCAATTGAACAGTCTCGCATCCCGCGTGCAGACTCCTAGCGAGGTGGCGAACGCCATACAACCATCCCCGGCATTCACAATGGGCAACCAAACACCCGAAGATTTCCTTTCAGCCCTCATAACTGACGCTGGAGTCCTCGAAAACTGTCTTGAGTCAATCGGGCCGTCAACGTGCTCCCCGCCTCGGCAGCTGTACGGCCTGCCGAGCCCGGAGGAGACCATGAAGGTTGCCCGAAAACGCGTTCGCCGAGAGAGCCTATACCACACGCCGCCCGAACCAATGCAAGAAGAACCGATCAGCCTCGACTTCATTCCTACTGTGTCGGTCCATGACGATGCCATGTCTTTGACGCAGAGCACGGGTTCTTTCAACCCACTTGTAACCGGCGCAAGCGATTCCCAAAAGTTGCTGCGCTTCAAGTCTTTGATGAACATCGACGAAGTGGTCGAAATGCTTGGCGTATACCAAGACGCTATCGGCGCTCTTCACCCGATTATCGACATCGACCAGACTATCGCCCATGCTCGGTTCTTCTATGCGGATGCGGATTCGACAAGTTGGGAGATAGTGACGGAAAAGTCGGACATGGCTTCCGAGGAAGATTTGATAATCTTGAATCTTGCCTTGGCTATTGCACTCCACACCGAAGCGACGCCAGAAAGCTCCAATATCGAAGCGCTCATCGTAGATTGTATGAAAGAGGCTGTGAACAGCAGAATCACCGAATCTAACACAAGTATGAAGCAAGTCATCATCATACTTCTCAAGGTCAGTTGCAGCCACTTCCCGTTTCGACTCCATCTAGCGCTGACAAGACCAATCAGGGCTGCTACGAATACTTCAATGATATGCCCCAGGTTGCATGGCGTATGTGTGGCATAGCCGGGCGCATGCTCATGGAGCTCGGAGTACACAACGAGGAAGCGTGGTCCCGTCTGGCAAGCTCACCGAGTCTACGCTCAGAACTCTGCACCCTGGTCTCCAGCATTGTCATCCTAGACCGACAATGGAGTGCAGCAGCCAACCTGCCCTCTAACTTTCATGACTCCAGTTTCAGCCCTGTCAACCTTATCTCGGTAAGCTACACCGTTCTGATCAAACTCTCAACCTGCATTAACACACCAAAAGGCCGATCATCCCTACATACAAGCAATGCTGTCCTTCATCCGCGTCAGCAATAAGCTGGAAGGGCCTATGGCACAAGCCACAAAGGCCCAGCGGTACGAAGACGAGGATAACTTTGAGCTCATGAATTTCCAGTTGGAGCAATGGCGCAAACGAGCTGTCGGCAACTACTCCATCACACACCCTGAGACATGGAGCCTAAGCCCTCCCAAGCAACCTTCCTCTTTCCCCATACTACTCCACCTGCGCGCGGAAACCGTCCGGAGTTTCCTCCTCAAGCCGTGGTTCTTCTCACGAACCGACACACAGACGAGCAAGAAATACCTGCAGCCCGCAATCGAAGTCCTCTTTGATATCTGCGACGTTCTCTACGCACTGAACGCCAACACAGACATCTACCGGAAGCAGCAGCCTTATTATCAAGAGCTATTGGCTTCAGCTTCCGCCCTCGGTTTCGTCCTGACGTCATCCCTGGAGCAGAACCGTTCAACCTTACTAGCTAGCCTGCCGCCGGGACTGTCCAAGGCTATGGGCCGCAGCTACGAGCTGGCTGTGGCACTGGCAGCGAGTTATGTTACGAGGTCAAAGGCTGCAAAGCAACTGTCTGATCAGCTTGCGGAGGTGCGTGGGAGTCTGATGGGGTTCGGCATGATCGAGATGCCCGACTCCGAGAATGATGACGGCAGGAAGGACGGCGACGTACTTCCTGCATCGGAGTTTATGTATGATGGGTCTTCTGGGTGGGATGATGAGTTCCAGATGCAATGGCCAAATTGCGATCTCGAGAACAGTTTTGCTGAGGGCATAGTCTCTTAAGGGGCCTCTTGGCGGTTGTACTTTTATTATCTATAATTCCCATGTGATACGAGATGAATGACGATCAATGATAACATCGACGATTATTTTCAGAGTCTACAAGGGCGCCACCGGTATTTGACGTCTCAGACATATAAAAAGACATGGGTACCTAGACTCAAGATGCATGATCATTGCAGGGCCGAATCGGAGAACTGGTAGCTGCAACCTAAACCTCTACCGTATCCGTTGATTCTTCCATAGCTCCTTCATGATTTCCGCACCTTGAAATTAAACATGTCGTTTGATACAACAGAGTTCCGATCCCTCATCTTTTCCGCAGTATCGATCCCTAGGACTGGCACGCGGTACTCAAAAGTTGCCCCATCATCTTGGCCTTTGATCGGATATGGGAAGGGAAGGTACTGCGGCATCAAACCAAGTTGAGCCAGGACGGTTCCCTGGTCCCATGAAATGTGCTCGTGGTACAACCTGTCGCCACGAATATTCACAACAGCAGTGAAGGGTATTTCCACCTTTTTGTACGTTGGCGGGATACCAGGGACACTGAGAGACACCGGGGTGTTAGCTGCTTTCGTCTCTGAGTATTATGCCCCTAATAGATGATCACTCACAGCCAATCGACCACCGTGTCATGTGTGAACTTATAGATGAACTCGTCCACGACGCGGTCAATACCAAGCGTGCGGCTGATGAGTTCTAACTCTGTATCTTGAGAGTTATTGAAAATGAAGTTGTTGCGGTAGAATTGTGTTAATGGCCCTCGTCCGATGCCACCCGTCAGCTGAGCACGTGTTAGCTGTGAGGCTTTCATATTCTGGGCCTCCGTCATAGAAGATCAATTTGACTTCGCTTACTGTGGGGACATGGTTCACATATGGTTGATCAACCATTGTGCTCATGGTATGCTCAACAGAGCGGTCCGCGAACTCATAGTATGTATGCTCATCCCAGATAGCCTCAAGATCGAAGTAAGGCCCGCCAATAAGCGACTTGAGAAATGTCAAGTTTCTGGTGTGAGACAGAGACTCTGACCAGTAATCGAAATCTTCATGAAATGGCGTCGCAAGCCTGAATGACTTAGCCTTTGCGTATCGATACGTGGCGATGCCCTCGGTCTTTTTTGTCTCAGACGGTGCTTGGCCACCAGCAAGGTGACACAGCATGGGGATTTTGGATCAGTCGAGGGTATTCTCATCGCTGGAATCTGCATATACAACAGCTCCCACAATATCTGGGAAGATGCAAGCCACCCCAGCAATCTTATTCCATAACGTTGGGTCAAACGCTGGAAAGAGGCTTAGTTCGTGTGAACAGTCTTTGCGATACCGAAGGGTACAATCACTCAACGAACATACCGACAACTCCGAACCTGCTATCTTTCTCCAGCTTGCTGCAGTCTTTCAGTGCTTTCAAAGCAGTCTGTAAGACATCTGTGGCAAGGCTCGGATTAGTCAACGCCTTGGCTTGGATCTCCACCACGACGAAACCCTCTTCCGCCCACTTGATGAGAGCAGAGGGTACTCCTTCGACAATGTCCAGGTGTTGCGTCGAATCATGTTGCAGTATAATGAGGCCCTTTCCGTAGCCTCGGCGCGAGAGCGGCGGCAGCAACGTGACGCCCTCGCTGATGCACTGTGGTTCAGCCTTTGGCAGTGGCGCAGGGGGCTTGCTGATATCCGCATACATTCTGAGAAAGTCTTGTGCTAGTGGTATCAGATTCAACGGTGTAGCTTGATGAGCAATGTTTAGGGGTTGTCAGCTGCGAGTCTAGTCTATACGTTGAGTTCGGGGTTCAATCAAGGCACTCAAGCGATCAACACGGATTACCTGGGATGGACCATGCGTTGCGCTTGACGTTCCGATGGCATGGTCACACTTGATACGGAAACCTTGTTTTAGCGCATAGAGCACAGCTGACAAGGCCCTAGAGCTGTATTCCTTGTATCCGGTGTACCGCGGGGTGAGCTTCCGTTGGATGGTGTAGGAGCGTGCGTTCCGTTCCGTTCGGAAGTTCCGTGATAAGCACTCAGACGGCGACAACAATCCCCGGCTAGCACCACATTCGCTGTTACGCGCGCTTGGACTCGCTGAGCCACGTTACGGGGCAGACGATCATTGAGAACATGGGTAAGGGTACCTGTCATGAATTCTTGAGCAGTAGCCGCATTTCCAGATGGAGCAACGATGGGCCGACGGTGTCTTGATGCTTCGATGCCTGGCTGTGCTCCGTAGTAGTGTCCTCGAAATTTGTTTGCGCGTGTAAACGCACGTATTTGATGAGATACTCGCTCATAAGTGTGCTTCAAAAACTTCTGCAATACTCAAGGAAGACACACTTGTGCATCTTTCGCGCATCGACGGGGCCTTGAGAGTTACCTTAGTCGTATCTCAGACGCCACGCAACGCAACCAACGCCTGATCATGACGGTCAAGGTCTCGAATCTGGAATGATTCCGCCGCCGCCTGATCCATATTTCGACAACCAATCTCTCGTAAGTGACATGATAGGCACAAGGGCTGACGGGCCCAATTTCGATAAGTTCCTAATGCGTGTTGGTGGTTCCGGAAGCACCACCGGAATCTATCCCCATACCCTGCCGCGGCGGCCTAACACTGACACAACCCCTGTCAACCAGCCATCAATCTGGGGTAACTCGACAGTAACTGGATATGGGCAGACAGCTTCGATATGTAAAGCTGGGTTTGTCTCATGTGCAGATGGGCTTTGATCTCTTCATGATTCATCGTTTTATATCTTGACTCTAAACTCGAAATTGAACAGAGTCTTGCGCCACTCGTTCACTCAAGTCTCCTGTCCCTAGCTTCTCAGAGCTTCACGTTAGAAAGCCTTACAATGGAGGGTCCATTTGATGCAGTCGTCGTCGGTGCCGGTAAGTATAATTCAGGCCCACTTTGGCTTTCCATTCTAGACTCTAGCCACTGACAAGTCACTCTTCTCAAGGCTGGTTCGGTCTCGCAGCCGCCAAGGCCTACTCACAACTCCACCCGACCGCGAACCTCGCTGTCCTAGAAGCTGCCGAGTCTTGCGGAGGAACATGGTCCAAGAACCGCCTCTACCCCGGCTTGAAGTCGAACAACATGATTGGGACCTACGAGTACCCTGACTTTCCCATGTCCGAGTCCGTGTACGGCGTCAAGCCCAACAACCACGTCCCGGGCGCGGTCCTGCACCGCTACCTTACCGATTTCGCCAAGCACTTTGGCTTCTTCGATCGCATTCAGTTTAATACCGCTGTCAACCTGGTGGAGAGGAATGGCGAGAAGGGATGGCGACTTTCTGTTGCCTCACCGGCAGGAGAGCGCGTTATCCAGACTGAGAAGCTCATCCTGGCAACAGGGCTGACCTCGACGCCGAACCTTCCAACTTACTCAGGAGCCGAGTCTTTCTCGGGGCCTCTGTTCCATGCAAAGGACTTCTGCAAGAGGGCATCAGAGCTCAAAGGAGTCAAGAATGCCGTAGTCGTAGGCGGGGCAAAGTCTGCATTCGATGTTGCCTATGCCTTGGTACAGGATGGCGCGCAGGTAGACCTGATCGTTCGCCCCAACGGCCACGGTCCTGTTTGGATTGCGCCCCCCTTTGTCACACCTTTCAAGAAGAGAATGGACCAGTTGCTGAACATCCGTTGGATGTCATGGTTCAGCCCGTGTCCTTGGGGTGGCGAAGACGGCTACTCGGGTGTTCGGCAATTCCTTCACGGGACCACCTTTGGCCGCTTCATTGTCGATTCGTTCTGGAAGGTACTGAGCGGCGACGTTCTCTCGGCCAACGCGTACGACTCTCACCCTGAGCTTCAGAAGCTGAAGCCTTGGCACTCGGCGTTCTGGATTGGTAGCGGTCTTAGCATCTTGAACTACGACAGCAGTCTTTTCGATTTGGTCAAGGAGGGCAAGATTCGGGTTCACATTGACAACATCGATAGACTGGAGGGCAACAAGGTCTTGCTGTCTTCTGGCGAGCAACTCGAGACTGAGGCGATTGTTTGCTCCACCGGCTGGAAGAAGGAGTCGACCATCAAGTTTGCCGGTCTCAACGAGGAGAAGCTCGGCCTGAAATACTCTGCGACTGAGAAACGGGCTTTAGATCAAGAAGCGGACGCCAAAGTTCTTGAGCTCTTCCCTCGGCTGGGAGATCAGCCGAAACTGAGATTCACCCCTAAGGAGGCAAACCCCTTGCGTTACTACCGCTTCATGGTTCCCTCCACAATGGTGGGCTCTCGCGATCTCGCCTTTGCCGGTATGATCTCAACAGTCAGCACTTCAGTCTGCGCCACTATTCAAGGACACTGGATTGCCGCCTTCTTGGGTGGCCAGCTAGATCGTCTCCCTACATCTGATCAGGAGATTACGGACGAGATTATGCTGCACACACAATGGGGCAAGTGGCGTTACCCCTGCGGCTACGGTGCCGACCTTCCTGACTTTGTTTTTGAGGGCTTGCCATACGTCAACATGTTGATGAAGGATCTTGGAGTAGAGACACACCGCAAGTCAAGTCGCCTTCAGGAGCTTACGTCGCCCTACCTACCGGCTGACTTCCGTGGTCTGGTTGATGAGTGGAAGCAGGGTCACGGTGCCAGCGAAATCGAGATTGCCACACATAAGGTTGTTACTTCAGGGACGGATGAATGAGAGGACCATTGAGAGTCAGCCATCTTGTGGCTTTTATTTTGGAAATTTCTTTTGTTTACGGGCATATTCCCTTGGCGGATTCCCAATTTACATTCTCCCATTATTTCCCCCCGGCCTCATTCAGGGTTAACTCATTGTACTTTCTCGATTGCATAAAGAAGACCGAGAGATAGATGTTAAGAAATTACAAATCAGACTTTTCTGCCTGACCCCCAGTTTCATGAAGTTCACAACAGGCCAATCCCCGAGACGGCGATTAGAATTTCACTTCGGGCAGGTGATTGCTCGGCGACTGACATACTAGTACGATCTTTGACCCAATGATTTGTAAAGTTCCAACCCGACTGCAAGTTGTGTATTGCAATTAAGGCCTAGTTGTCTGCCGACGTTCGATATTTCTTGGCTTCAATGGGGTTACCCGCGGAATCCGCGGAACGCATGGCCAAAATCGAATAACCGCCACAGACCCACGGGAAGCGCGTCACGGGTCGACGGACTATTGACGGGATGCATTTGAAATCGGAGAAAGCTTCATCAGCATACTTGAACTTTACGTTAGATATCTCACGACAAACGGCATTCACATAACGTTATCAGCGACGACTGGAGGTGTTCACCATGGTAATCCCAGCATGATATACTGAACTGTACCTCTCCAGTGCGCAGTGGATGGTGATCTTCATCTTTGAGAGCGAATCATTTCGCAAACCCCGCTGCAGTATCCCACCGGCGCTTATAAGTTGCGGAGGCTCGTCTGCCCAATCGGTACTATCGAGCTCTAAACTGCACTCATCAATCTCACAAACGCAAGTTTCTACCAACTACCTACACTTATCAACATGCTCGTCTTAATCGCCGGAATATCTGGCAGCCTTGGTAGCCGCTTAGCAATGGTTGCGAAGGAGCGCGGTGTCTCTGTCAGGGGCCTGGGACGTGATCCCTCAAAATTGAGTCCTGAGCTGGCCCAGAGTCTGGAGTCCTTCGTCACAAGTCGCAACTACTATGATATCCCAGCTCTAGATAAGGCCGTAGCGGGTGTTGATGCGATTATCTGCGCTTACAACCCGACACCTCTACTGGATCTCGACGGTTGCCTCTTACTCCTCAGGGCTGCCGAGCGGGCAAACGTCAAGGTTTTTATGGCCTCCTCGTGGAACAATGACTGGACAAAGATCAAGTTCGGCGATTTCGAGCACTACGACGCTCATATTGCCTTTGAGCAACAGGCCGCCATGACAAGCTCAATCAAGCCGGTGTATCTTCTCACGGGCACTTTTGCTGACCTCCTGTTTACGCCGTACGGGCCGGGAGGTTTCGATACTTCTGGTGATGTCCCTCAAATGCGCTACTGGGGCGAGGGAAACAAGAAGTTGCATTCATGGACGGCGCAAGACGACGTTGCTGCATGGACCATTGAGATCCTCATCAATGGGGACGGCGTTCAACAGGGCAAGGGAGGATTCTTCAGAATGCGCTCTGGAGTCAATACGATTGAGGAACTGGCGTTGGCATACGAGGAGGCGACGGGGACCTTTGTTGAGGTCAAGCGCCAAGGCACCCTGGGGATGCTTGCGGAAGAGATTGCAAGACTGCGCAAGGAGAAAGGCAGAGCTAGAAACTTTGAGTATCTCCCAGAGGTTGTCGCATTCTTGAGCGACCAGGGACTATTCGAGGTGCCGGCTAGTGAGATTGTGTCTTTGGGGCATGTTCGCAAGCCCACAACTCTGGAAGAACACCTCAAGATACGGTTCGGCAGCTGATACAGAACTGGACTGGGAACTAGTTTCAGGCAGTAGATAGGTGCCTGCAGAGCGATTACCTTTATCAAAGGATTCGGAAACAACGTGAGAAGCCGTGGACAGTCGCAGCTCTGACACGTTTTGAAAAATAATTACCTAGTCAGATCCTGACAATTATGATCAATGTTTCTCAGAATGCGAACTCGAGAATGTTGAAACACTAGGGTCTTTCTATTCTATGCCCTTTCCAAGAGGGATATAAAGGTTGAAGCTGTATTGCATACTGTAAGATAGGCACGTAAGCATGTGCTATGAGAGCACATGTTGCTTTCGGGTCTGGGTAAGCTACCGGCCGTGAAGTGGGTAGGTTGGTTGAGGTCACTCGGGGTTCATCGCAAAGTTCCGTTTCCCCACCTCCGTGGGGAGACCGGCCAAGATCAGACTACTGTGGGAGAAAATGCTCTAGCTTAAGATCAAAGCGATGAAAGCTAGTGTGGTTAGAGGGCGTTGACTGATGGTGACAGGTCGGAGTCCGTGTTAGCTGCACAGATGGTCCGGACCTTCAAATCGAGGTTCGAGCAGGCAAGCAGACAAACCCTCCAGCGGCTCCATTCATCACTTTTTGGGATCTTTGCCACGCTATCCGCGTGGATTGAAGAGAGTATCCTAATACTAGATCATCCCCCTTGCAATTGCAACATCGCATTGATGTGCTTGGCTTCATACAAATTCTGTTCGTCTTTCGAGCTCGAAACAAAAGATCAATGGCCCCTTGTAGGTCCTTCTAAGTATGCACGTTTGGTGTTTCTCGACATCCCTTGACTGCATTTGTGAAACCATGTCCCATAGCAACCTGGCCGAGCCACTGCGAGACTTCAGATGGTGGCATTGTATATAACTTCAGCAGGCTCCGAAAGTTTTGAAGGCTATACATGTGCTCCGGTAGATCAGCTGTGTTTACAAGCACCCGGAACATTGACGATGACTTTCAAAGTGGCGACTTTCATCTGGGCATTGGCTGCCTTTGCAGGACTGTCCCGTCAATCCCCAATGCTGCACCGTCGCGACAAAGCCTCAGACCCGTTGAGCTTCAGTAAAGATGGCGACTTCAAGATCTCCATCTTCGAAGATCTTCATTTCGGAGAGAGTAAGTCTATGAATTAGGCGCAGGAACACCAGCCATGGATACTGTGCTCTGTTCAGTGCTGATACCGCATTCCTGTAGACGCCTGGGAAGCATTCGGCCCTGCTGCAGATAAGAAAACTGTCGGTGTCATCACCAAGGTGCTAGATGATGCCAAGCCAGACTTGGTGGTACTAAACGGCGACCTCATCACTGGAGAAAATGCCTTTGCAGAAAACGCAACATTCGTGCTCGATCAGTTGGTGAAGCCCATAGTCGATCGGAGTATTCCCTGGGCTAGCACCTACGGTAACCACGACTATCAGCAAAATGTTACGGGGAGCGATATCATGGCGCGCGAGAAACAATGGCCAAATTCTCGAACGCAAAAGATGGTCAGTGACTCCAACGCTGGGGTATCCAATTACTATCTACCGGTTTATGCTTCCGGCTGCACGAAAGACGATTGTACGCCGGAGCTGGTGTTATGGTTCTTTGACAGCAGAGGCGGCTACTATTTCATGCAGACTGGATCGAATGATGCAGCGAAGTTGGTGGGCCAGCCTAACTGGGTCGACGAAAGTGTCGTCAACTGGTTCAAGTCCACCAATTCAGATCTCAACAAGAAACACAACAAGAACATTCCGGGTGTCGCATTTGTTCACATCCCACCAAAGGCCTCGAGTGCTATTCAATCGCAGGGTATCGACCCTGAGAAGAATCCTGGGATAAACGACGATTCTCCGCTGTCGTATCAAGCTCAAGGCTGGTGCAAAGATGGGAGTCAAAAAGATTCCTGCGACTACGGCGGCCAAGACTCGGCATTCATGAAGGCGGTTGCTGATAGCCCGGGCATGATTGGAGTGTTCAGCGGTCACGGCCACGGCAACAGTTGGTGCACTAAGTGGAAAGGCTCTGTCAGCGGTGTTTCCGTTGACGGAACGGGCGTCAACCTGTGTTTCGGTCAGCATACAGGCTATGGGGGATACGGAAATTGGATCCGAGGTTCGAGGCAATTATCTTTCACCCGTGATAAACTGTCAAAAGGGGAGCTTGACACGTTTATTAGACTGGAGTCTGGAAACATTGTTGGATCGATTACTTTGAACTCCACCTACGGAGAAGATAAGTATCTCACAACTCCAGACGACAGGACATAAATCGAGTATCTGGACACCGCGAAATTGCCGCTTTTCTGTCAAGTAAGTACTCCGTAGAAGTTTGGGATCGACATTATACCCTGAAACTGCACGTAATGTTAATAGAATGATTCCATGATTGATGGTTTGTGCCCCCCAGCATGCCTGGTCAACTCAGAGGTTGCTGGATCCTTGCCCTTCTATTCTTCAGTCTAAGCGGACTTAGAGTATGAAAACTACTTCTTCCTGATCTAGGTAGGTAGTGACTTCACCAGCTATCGTCAGCTTTGGGCGCGATCGCCCTGTTAATTCGGTCGTGATGTACGAAGTACCTGCCCAGTACACATCGTGCACCCCATCGAAAGCGGAATGACATGGGGGGGAAACTAGATTTGGGCTTAATTCCATTATTTCCACGTATCATAAGATTGGGTCGGGAACAGAATTGGAGATTAGTTGAGCTTAAATGAGCACTCATTATTGACGACTTTCCGCGCTCGATGAAATATACTCAACTACATGGTTCCTTGGCCGGCAAAACGACGATATTGTCAATGGGCAAAAGTTCTTGACCAGCATGGGGGTCGAACCCACAATCTCCTGATTCCACGGTATGTCGTAGTCAGACGCCTTGCCATTGGGCCAACCGGCCAGACAATTGAGAACATCTCGGATGCTCGTCTGTGGGGCGGGCAGGCCAATTTGCGGTTTATTATCCAGAACCTGAAGTGCAAGCAATCTCCAACGCACAATCGCGCCTCGAAGTCTTTGCGACTCTGGTTGTTATTGTTGGAAAGCTGCTCCACCCTCGTTGTCAAGAGGATCCCCGTCACCGCCACGCCCCTGTTACATTCTACAACGCTACTGAGCCCGTTGGAAAAATAGCTGAAATTCGAGGCGAGCCGGCCCCCTCATCACACCGACTGGTTGGTCCAAGAGAGTTTCGTAGCCGCCCAACGGCTAAAGTCTCATCACACCAACGTTCCGCACTTGGAAGTTGGAACCAACAAGAGCATGTTGAAACCAGCAATAAAAACAATGTCCTTCGAGCCCCTGCTTCTAGAAAACATGCACTGATATCCGTGATTAGCGTTCGAAAACCTAACCCATTCATAATGGACCCCTCTGCCCGTTCTTCCATGTGCCGCGGCCTTCCACCCCCCTTCCCCCCGCACCAGCTGCTCGGTTCTCCCACGCTACTCAGAACCCGATAGTTTGGTTCGCCCATCCTCGTCATTGACACTATCATATACGCTACCTATGTTTTGAATTAGATGGACGTCGACGACGATCTTGAATTGCAAGATGAGGTAAGTCGTTAGGCTCGCTTTTGGAACTGTTGACCATGTTTGAAGTTCAATTCTGACAGCTGTAGGGGACAAATGCCGAGGAGATGGACTCTGATCTCGACTCTGCGATTGAGGATATGGAGGTATGTCCACTACGACTTGAGTCGGGCATCTTCACTCTGTACATAACTTAATGTCATCAGCCGCCCGCGCAGCCCGATCTTCTTTCAATAACGTCAGATATTTTCGAGTATCAGTTTGAAAACGGCAGATCGTACCATTCGATGAGCGAAGGCAGTTGAGTCTGCCACCAGTTTGCTTCAATCACATGTGCTTCTGGCTAACATTTAACAGAATATGCGTATCCGAATGACAATGTAATTATTTTTTTCTTATCCACCATTCTTATTGGCTTGAAACGCGTTAATTCGATTTGAGAGTGTAGCTGGAACTCATACGCTACGGTACGTGTTAGCATTGGTTCCCTTCCCTGCAACTTTACTCACAGCGAGTAGATCTTCAACATCATCTGTGGTTGATCACACTCGATGGAGAATTAGCGACAAGCCCTGGGAGAGAGACGGCAAGGCGAGTTCTGGATCTGGGAACCGGAACTGGAATCTGGGCGATTGACTTTGGTGAGTGATGAACTCGTTACCGGTTCCCACGCGTTTGGGGAGGGTTTTGATGAGTGCGAGACTGACACTGTGCTAGCCGATGCATATCCCGGCTCTGAGGTACAAGAATAAGACAAAAAATCACGCTTTCCCGTTGACTAAACTGTTTCCAGGTTATCGGTGTGGACTTGAGCGCCATTCAACCTGATCTGTAAGCCTAAGCCTCACTCCGTCTTCTGCTTGCTTGGCTGATCACTCTTACGTAGGGTTCCCGCCAACTGCAGTTTTGAGATAGATGATCTCGAGCTCGACTGGCCTTGGGAGCAACCCTTTGACTACATCTTTAATCGGTCCTGTGCAGGCAGTTGGTCAGATTTTCGATCTATGATTCAAAGAGCATACGAGTAAGAATCAAGCCTCATTAAGCTACAGTCGCTTCACTTGCTGATACTGGTGCAGTCATCTGGAGTCCGGTGGCTACTTCGAGGTTCAAGACCTCGAGCTTCCATCTTACTGTGACGACGGTTCCGTGCCACCGGACGCCGCTCTCTACCGCTGGCAACACGCGCTTGTGGATGCCTCAAACGAGGTGGGTCGGCCTATCAACTACGCTGTAGACTGTCTTGACGATCTTCACAACGTTGGCTTCATCGAGATACACCACCAGATCTACAAATGGCCTTTCAACAACTGGCCCGATGACCCAAAACTCAAAGAAGCCGGTCGATGGAACTGCGCGAATCTCGATATGGGCCTCGAGGCGTTCTCATTGGGCCTCTTGACCAGAGTAAAGGGCTGGACGCGAGATGCCGTTGAGGAGTTGTGTGCAGAGGTCAAGAAGGAGGTGAAGGATACGAGGCTGCATGCCTACTGGAGACAGTGAGTCGTTACCTAAGTCGCCCTAAATCGACCCCCAGGCTTCCTTCGAGACTACCTACTGACTATTTACTAGACACGTTATCTATGCTCGGAAACCTTGTAAACCATCAATAACATAGCGCGAGATTTAAATAGGGTCTGTGAATTGTACACTCTGCAGTGATATTTCACACCTGTCGCCCGTTTGGAAGTTGGACAGTGTTATCACAGCTAGACAGCCAGCCACGAGCAGCAGGCCAATCTAACAATTCCCGAGAAAGTTTGGGTCTTATCTGCTTCTCTTTTCTTCCAGTTCTAATAAAGTAATGAGCTTTTTCTGGAGGCTCCATGATTTCCCAAAGACCCTTGACTTTTGCAATAACTCGATACAGTCGTGTACCGCTATTTCCCTCCCTTACTGTCGATCCCACGTCGAGATTTCGGGAATCAGCCTGGCCAGCTGTGTCCTTGTCTTTCTCTTCTGAACAGTCCTTTCCTTCTAAACCGTCTTCACAAGCAGGTTATTTCTCAGCGATTTCCTCGACTACCCAGCAGGTGCTCAAAGAACGGATCCCCGGCCGGGGCAAAAACTCCCAATCAGCGTGATATGCCGTGGCAACCAGGCAGGGCTTGTCAACATCAGAAACTAAAACATGCTCTGTGCACGATTGACTTCAGCCTCGGAGCTCCAGGGATTCGCCGTCAAAAGTTAGACTAGATTGGTTCCCTGATTGCGCATCATGCCTAGAGGAAGCTTGCCATTTGAAGTAGACTCGTTGTTCTCGGCAGAATCTTGAGTGACGGCATTCATCGCAGTACCTTAGCTAGCACACCAAACACTAGTTGATGACCTGAGATCGAATTCATAGGACTGCTCCTTCGAGAGGCATCTTCATCACTCGTCTGAGGCGCTTCGCTAGTTGGCGGCGTATCCATTGGGTTGTCGACGCGGCTATACCGCCCTACCCAAAGGGTACCATCTGTCATGATCCGCTCGACAAACCACAGCTGACTGTATGACTTTCCATCAGGGGATGGATTCAACTGTAATGCGTTGAAAGGCATAGTCGCGACCAGTAGGTGTTAGGACAAATCTCGCCCGACTTTGTCGGGGAGAAATGGATCGTGAAAATCACCTTCTCTGATCAACTGCCAGACCACCTCTGCAGGCAGCATCACAACGAAGATCGGGCTGAAAGCACAGCAAGCACTCATACTTGATCCCGGTATCCACTAATACTAAGAACAACCTCTTCGTCGTTGAACACTCACCGAACGTCGAATCGGGCAACAGTTCTCCGTCGGAAACCCTTGCCGCACGGGTGCATGGATCTGACGAGGCATGGGTGAAATTAAGCAACGGGACCCAGATTGCTCTCCCTGATGCGACCGGTCCAGCTCAAGCTGTCATTACTCTGACCCCTTGGCATCTCATCGTCTAGTCATACGGCTCATCTGCCAACAACGACACCCTGGAAGGCGAGGTCACTACTATTGATGTTGGTCAGCTGGACACTCTGAGGCCTTGGACGAACATCTCCGGCATCGAGCATCTGAGCGGGGCCGGAACGTACTCCACAGCTTTGAGTGGGCTGTCGACGGTCAGGCAGCCGTGTCTATCAACTTTGGAACCGTACTCAACACCCTGAGAGCTTGGGTCAATGGGAAGGAACTTACGCCGGTTGACCCAACGGACCCCGTGGCTGATATCTCGAGTTTCATCATCACAGGCAATAACACACTGAAAGTTGAGGTGGCAACCACCCTGTTCAATTCGGTCAAGGCCAATGTAGACCGAGTCTTTGACATCGGCCTTGGTCCGTAAAGACCGATGTACTATGTTGAAACTGCTTGGGAGAAATTTGGTCTCATAGGACCTGGGGAGCTGCGGTCTTTGAGGACCTTGACCGTCCTACTGAGACAAATCAACTGCTGCACTGCATCCTGATGATGATTATTGCTTGCTATTGAGTCGTTGGATCACACCCCGTTTGAACCTTCCCGTCTCTTCTCTCCTGTACAATCTTTCTTGGCCGAACTTTCCTGTCCAATCTTGTCAGTTCAATTCTTCCTGCCGAGGTAACGGGCTGAGTCTTACAGGTTTGTTTGATTCATGTATTCATCACTCTGGTGCGATGACCCATCGTTCAGCCGGTTATCCACTCCAGTAGGACCGAAATTGGATTCATTGGAGGCTGATTAGAGTCGAGATCTCCCAGTCCCGGAAACAGGGGGTCGAGGGCTATCAGAGATCAGTAGATGGGTGGACTCGAACTGCGGGCTCTCCGCATCCCATTCGATTGGTTATTCTGCGGTGCGCGCATTTGGTTGGATCCTATTCCAAGGCCAGAGGATTGGGGGTACCCATATTCGCGTGAGCATTTTGCGGCATGGGCACTTGTTGTAGTGCTGTTCCCGAAGGTTGGGGAACAGGGGTACTCATGTTCGGGTGAGGATTCTGCGGGATACTTGAGCCATCTGTTGCGGCGCTACTGCCGGAGGCTGATTTGGAGGTAGCATGGGCACCCAAGTGTCGAAATTTCTGCGCATGTGTTCGTGTCCTCTTTGGCTCAGGTGTACGACGTCGACATTAACCATGTGATGGTTCTGGAAGCATCGGAAGATCACCCCGAACTCTCTGTCGTTCACACCCTCAATGTAATTTCCACAATAACTTGTGTTGCGGATCTGGACAAAGTACCAGCAAAGACGTCGTTCAGGCTCCTGTGGGACCGGTTCTCTGCGGATGCCCTCTGACACCTGATCTGTGTAGCCCTAGAGATTTTTAATGGATCTGGAGGTTATGCCCAGAGGAAGGAGCACCTTCGTCAGATTATGGTTGCCTGCCATGATGCTTGATGGCGTATGTTTAGGAATGCTTCAAGTGGCTCTGGGAATGTCAAAATGGTCTCGAACATGAGCAATGAATACTTGTAGGGATTGTGCTCAGTTATAAACAAAGTCTTCATGGGGTTGAACATCGTGTTTCCCTTTTCCGCTACCCTGCAACCCATGCAACCCATCTTCACAAGTCCGCCTAACATTGGCGTTCAAAGTTCAAAGACAGACTGGCTAGTACTGAGAATCAGGCTTCAGGGCTTCAAGGCAGAATCGCTTGAGCTTGCATTGCCTGCCTGGCTCCGGGCTTTTGCATCGTCAGGCCTTTCATGCGGAGGACCCTCATGGTCTTTGCGCATGTGTATGAGCCCGTTCCACGGTTCCGCCTTCGCACATTGGTTGAGCCAGCGATCCATCGGGTGACTTGATGACGACCTCTTCGGCTCGTGGTCCAGGCGGGCGTTCTTATTCTGTTGTTCTGCCTGCATTCTGGGAAGCCCAATGTCAGTGCCCCCCACACTTCAAGACTGGAGTTGTACACTGACCTGGCTATCGTACTATTTGTCTCGGCAATGCTCTGGTCAACTTCAGGTTGATGGCGTTGGTGATTGTTATCTTGGTATAACAAATCAACAACTTAGAACTCTGGCGGATTTCCAGCCTTTATACTCCAGAATTTAAGCGGCCCCAAATCGAGATATCAACGAACTGGGCTTGTTTGGGATCATGTATCTTGGGGCCATTTTTTGCTGGGGCCGGTTAATGTGGCATTGTAAGAGCGTGGGGCCAGTTATTATTTTGACTCCCATCATCTCATACTTGGGGCCAATTTCAAGTCTGAACTTCTTGCTGATTTTCAATTGACTCCTCGCTACATTCCAGTGAGATTGGTCTTACATCCTGCACTTCAACGTGGAGTTGATGTTGGCAAACGATCGGCGAAGCAGGGTTTTCTGCCTGATCTGTTCCATAAGTTTCATTTTATGTCGGTTGAAGAAAAGGGATCGTCTTTGCTGTAAACTCTGGGTCAAGTATGATAAAGAAAAGCTTATGTGAAAAATTCCAAGGAGAAATACAGGTGATCCAGAGGCTAGATTTATAGATGTCACGCCTTTTTGCAATGACGCATAACTGCAACCTCCATTACCGCAGAACATGCGTAGCTGAAGGAGATGATTGATGTTCAAAGACCTTCAGAGATTAACATTTACTGACGATCGTGGGCCTGTAGGCTGTATTGCAATTGAACTCCGCGTGGATTTAGCCGGTGATGCAACATTGCGGTAGTTTCAAACTGCCTACGTATGCTCTGCGCTCGTTAGAACTGATCCCTCGCAATCAGGCGCGAATTGTCGCTGCCGGACACGGGCACGTCCTAAGATTACTGGAGGTGCGCCTTACTTAGATTGCTTACCAGGGTATTTCGTCCAGAATCTATACATCATCGACCCTGTTTACACGGCATCGGCATAGCCTCGATACGAGTACTCGTCTTTCATCCGCCAATACGAAAACGTCCGAACGTGGGAACCTGTAAAACTCTTGAGGCCGGAGGCTAAGGTTTGATATAGTCGCGGTAGAGAAAGACCTATATTCGTCGTCGGCTCGTCTAGCGCAGTTTCCAACAACCTTTCAATTACTGAAAGCATACGCGGGCAATCTGAGTTCGAGTAGTTAGCTGGTATTTTCCTGGTTCTCACAACTCAATGTCGTTCTCTGGTTGCCTTGTGTTGCAGAAATGACATAGTTCCCGCGGCCCCCGAACAACGACGGGATTTGAATTACGCGGCGAAGACTCTTAATAAATCACTAGGTGGTCTGGCTACACCTCAACGTAAGCGCTCTGCATTGCATGTCGAATTACTTTGGGGAGGGGGGGTTGAAGCACTTCAAGTACGACGATGAGATTTATTGTGTCGATCCGCCGACTGACTGTATGATTTTCGATTGTCGATCTAGTTAGCGGTTTTCAAGGCGCAGTTCGTCCCGACCAACAAGATTTTTGAGACCGTGAGACTTGAGACCCAGCCCTGTCAATCACCAGCTTCATTTAGACGAAACATGACCCCTTCTTACCCCGCGTGGCATTCAATCATCGGTGGTCACCAGCAACATCATCTTTGTTGGAGAGTCATCGCGCAAAGCAACATATGGTTTTATTCTTTTCAAGTTTTTTTGCGCGTTCGT